CCTAGAAACTTGCACCCACTTGTGAAAGAGATGTACTGTTGCTCTGGAGTGTGTTACTGAATATGTTAAATCTATAGTGAAAAGCTTCTAATCATGTAGTTATTAAAAATTTAAAAATGATTAAAAAATAATTCTTTAAAGCATAAAAATTTGCTCCTTAATAATTAGTAGATGTGAAAAACATTATCATTGAAATCTGCCTGATGACTTTCTATCCATGCTCAGATGCCAAGGAGCTCAGAAAGTAACAAACTGTGACTAGTAATAATCAGATATATGGAGATTAGAAACGCATGTGCAAACATCTTAATGTCAATTGCATTAAAAATTATTTTTTCTGTATGAAACTATGCATTTTAATAATGAAATGGAGATCTTTTTCAAAGGTTAAAACCTCATTTAGCTTCATGTCTTAAAGAGTTTATATGGAGTGTAATATTGTATAACTGTATTATTTCAACTGTAAGCCCAAAAATTTACAGCCAATTTTGAAACAGATGCATATTAGCTCTAGAAATTGTTATTGAATATGTCTATGCTGTTGTAATGAAATGCTTCTTCTAAGTATGTAGTTATTAAATAAATAATTAACAAAATAATATCTATGTTGGGCCAGGCATGGTGGTACACATCTTAAAAAAAAAGAATTATTTATGGGCTGGAGAGATGGCTCAGTGGTTAAGAACACTGGTTGTTCTTGCAGAAGACCAGGGTTTGAATCCCAGCACCCACATGACAGCTCACAACTATCCGTAACTCCAGTCCCAAGGGTTCTGACAGCCTCTTCTGACCTCTGCCAGCATTGCAAGGCTCAGGTGCACTTACCTACATGCAAGCAAAACACACATTCACATAAAATAAAAACAATTTTAAAAATATTTATTTTTATTTTATGTAAATGAGTGTTATGCCTGCATGTATGTAAGTGTACCCATGTCATGCAGATGAGGGTGTCGGATCCCCTAGAACTGGAGTCATGGATGGTTGTTAGCTGCCGTGTGGGTGCTGGGAATCAAACCAGGGTCTTCTTCAAGAGCAGTCAGTGCTCTTAACTGCTGAGCCATCTTTCCAGTCCCTCTAGCCACATCTTGAGAATCAAGGCTGACATTTCATTTGACTTTCCTCTTGACTCTAACCCAACAGTGAGTCCTGCTGACCTTTCCTCTAGGATGGCTCTTGAAACTACATCAGTCCTCTGCCTCTGCTCTACCATTGACTGGGCCCAGCTGTCATCATCCTTCAGGACTGGCTCAACCCATTCTCTGCTTGGCACTCAGAAACAACTGTTTGGACACGTATGACATCATGCCAGTTCTTTGATCCAAGTCCTTCCATGGCTTCCTCTGGCATTTAGAATGACAGTAAGGCCTGAACGGTCCCGTGTGATTTGGCTGCTCCTACATCCAGAGAGAACTCAACCTCCCTTCTCTGTGTTCTGGCCATGCGGGATATCAGTTGTGCCCTGACAAGCACTCAGCTCATCTTGGTCCTGGGCCTTTTCGCAAGCTGTGTTTTCTGTGTGCACTGCCCCTTCCTTGGCCTCTGCCTCCTCCCTCTCCCCCTTCACTTACCTGGTTCCATCTTCTTCCAGAGCTTCCAGGGAGCTGTCTCCCCTTTTCTCCTCCTTCATTTGTATATTCCTGCGTATTCATTTATGTATTCTTTTATCTACTGTCTCCAATGGAGGTGGGGAGTATGTCTGTCTTGGCATTATTTTGTCATGACAACATTCAGCCCCTAGCAAGCACTCACTGGTGGTTGAATGGAGAGGCATGAATGGCGGGATCTTGAGCTTATAGCATAGGCAATAATCTAAGGTACAAACAGAGAGTGTGGGACTTCAGAGAAGGGCATCTGAGTTGCACTGTTAAACATACTGTAGGACTGGGCATTCATAGCACAGGGCCCCACTGGGAGAAGTATCCATCTGAATAGGACTTTTACATTCTCACAAACTCTTGCTAGTTTCTGGAAACAGATTGTGTTTCTCTGATTGTCTATTAAGTTTTTTTTTTTTTTTTTTCAAACTGCTGAAGATCTTGGAATCAAACCAAAGTAATCTACATTTCCATTTTTATATCTTAATTTATAAACTGTGCCTTATAATTTACAAGCACTCACTTACTTAGTGTCTCTAACAGAGCCTAAACAAATACCAGCTTTGCCAGCCCTCCATTCCAGTCTTCCCCTTGCGCTCTGCTCAGAATGGGCTGGAGCTAGCCCTAGCCCCAGGGCCACTAGGACAATAATGATGATGGTTAGCCCTGTGGAACCGGTGAGAAAAAAGCAGCTGGAGATGTAGTGGCATGTCCAAGAAGGCAGGCTGTGAGAGGGAGCCAGGCCTCAACCTAGGCCTTTGCATGTCCCCATGCCTAGAGTCTTTCCAGAACAGGGACTGGTGATATTTCGAATTGGATGATTTTTTATATAGTTTGGGCATCTAATGCCCTCCCCAGACCCCAGCAGCCAGTTCTGGAGTATAATCCTCCTGGCTGGGTCTTGGGAGATCTTGGGTAAGTGAAAAACACCTCTGAGCTCGGTTTTCCGACCCACAAAATGGGAAGATGTCTCAGGGCAGATGTGTGAATAAATGATGATGATTGAGTGCAGACTGGTTCACATCATTGCTAGGTGTTGGATACATAGCCAAGCTGTGGTGAAGTCTGTGATGGTTACTATTGATTGTCAACTTGACAGAGTCAGGAATCACCTAGGAGACAAGCCTCCAGGCACACTCCTGAGGGATCATTTACATTATATTAGCCTCTAGGCATGCCTCTGAGGAATAATCTTGATTAGGTTAATTGAGGTAGGAAGACACATTTAGAGTAAGGAGGCACCATTCACTGGGCTTGGGTCCTGGGCTGCATAAAAAAGGAGGAATGGGAGCTGGAGAGATGGCTCAGTGGTTAAGAGCACTGACAGCTCTTGAAGAAGACCTGGGTTCTATTCCCAACACCCACATGGTGGTTAGCAACCATCCATAACTCCAGTTCCAGGGGAATTCGTTGCTCTCTTCTGACCTCTGCAGGCATTGCATGGACATGGGTGCACTTACACACATGCAGACAGTATATTCATACACATAAAAATAATAATTTTTTTAAAGGAGGAATCTAACTGAACACAAAAGCCTTCATCAGTCTGTCTTTCCTAGCTTCCAGTGCAACTTGACCAGCTGCCTCAAGCCCCTTCCACCAGGACTTCCCTGCCATGACCGGCTATACCTCCAGCATGAGTCATAATAAATCCTTTCTCCCCTAAATTGTTTTTGACATGGTATTTTATCACAGCAACAGGAAAAGTAACCAAGACAATGTCTAACTCATTCTACAAAGTTGCCTCCTAGCAATTACTTTCTGTCCCTGAACCCTTCAGTCTGTAATCTCCATGTAGCCCTCAAAAGGTCCTCTTATTGATCTAAGTGCCCAGCTGGACTTCAGCCTCCTTCCCCATAGGGATTGTTCACCTGTCCTTTCCCATGATGGACAGCTGGGTATTTTCCTCAGGAATGGTGCTAAAAAAATGATCCAAGAAGAAGCCAGAGTATTGATGAGCTCCCCCACCCCATCTTGTGTATGGGCTGTGAGTGTTCCAGGTGCCAGCTGACATCCGAATGGCCTGCCTAGTTTATAGCCTATGGTCAAGCCCAGCTCTGAGCAGGTGGGTCTCTTTTGCCTCATTTTCTTCTGCTTCTGTGCATATCTCCATTTTCCCAGCTGCACACTACCTTGAGGTAACAGTCAGGCTCCTTGAGACAAATTCCTGGAGTGGAAAAGGGGCTTTCTGAAGCCTGTTACCAATACCCACCCCAGGCTCCAGTCCAGGCTCAGCATTTACTATGATAGTTACTAAAGCCTTCTGGGCTTCGGTTTCCTCATCAGTGAATTAGGGACATGGTTAGGATCTGCTGAAGGTTAGGTACATTAGGCTCTGTCAATCTTGACAATCTGTGCCCCCTGTCATCTTAACAAGGCATGGTGGGGCACTAGGCCACTATGCTGAGCTTGGGGAAACTTTTCCAGGTGCTCTTCTTGCAGGGCCCGGGGTGGCCCAGACATGTACTGCTGTGCCTCTTTCACTCTTTCACTTTCCTTGGGCAGTGCGGAAGGGTAGCTTCAGCAAGCTAAGGTGCAGTGGAGACTCAGCCAGACCCGCCCATGTCACACCTGAGATCCCCAAGGCGGCCTGCTGAGCCCCCTTGTACCATTCCCTACAGCCTTCTTCAAAATGAACAAAATCTGCTTAGCTGTCTGGACTCTTCCGAGCACCTAGGGCAGAGATCCCTTCCCAGGGACCAAGCCGGTTCTCCTGTCCATACTTTTTTTAGTGGTGATGGTGAGGGGCTCCAGTTCTTCCTACTTCTACTTTTTGTTTTGGTGCGGGAAGCTCACATTTCGGCTCCACTAAAAGGAGTCCAGTGTCTCCCTTAAATTCTCTGTAGCCGGTGGAGGGACTGCGGGTACCTGCTCCAGCACAGCTCAGCCCGGCTCCCCAGGGGTCTGCGCCCAGGCCGGCCCCTCCCCCAAGGTCACCCAACTTTTCCCTCCCCCTCCCCCGCGGGGCGGGCCCCCGCATGCATTATTCATTGGTCGGGACCTGCGGCGGGCGCGGGTGCTGATGTCAGGCCGGCGCGGGTGCGGCGGGTGCGGCGGCCACCCAGCAGCCCGGGCGCGGGTGGGGGGGCGCCGAGTGGGGGTGGCGGCCAGCATGCTGCTCGGCTGCGGTTCGGCCTCCCACACCCGCGGCGCCCGCGTCCTCGCCAGCAGTCGTGGCGGCCGAGCAGCTAGCGGCGTCCGGAGCTGCAGTGGTGCCGGGTCCGAGCGCACAGCGCGGGCCGGCGGCGGGGGTCCAGGCCGGGTTGGGGACCCGGGGACCCGGGATGGCGCTGCGGAGAGGCGGCGGCGGGGCGCTGGGACTGCTGCTGCTGGGCGCCGCGTGCCTGATCCCGCCGAGCGCGCAGGTGAGGCGGCTGGCGCGCTGCCCCGCCACTTGCAGCTGTACCAAGGAGTCCATCATCTGCGTGGGCTCCTCCTGGGTGCCCAGGATCGTGCCGGGCGACATCAGCTCCCTGTGAGTGGGACCCCTCCAGCCCCTGCCCCGCCCTGCCCTGCGCTCGCTGCCACCAGGGAGTTGCCTCTGGCACAGGGGCAGTGCCACCCTCTCCCGCTCCCCTGCCGTTTTCTTTTGCTTTGGGTTTGGGGCGCACCACGGGACGTGGATGGAGTCTGCTTCCCCAGGAGGATGGAGGGACCCGAGCCTCAGAGTCTGGGAACGCAGTCAGGTCCTCGTGACAGTGTTTCTCAGTGTGGCCGGTGGGTCACCTGCATCAGACCTACCCAGGGGTGCTACTGTAGACTTGGGGCCCACCATGGGGTAGGGTCTCTGGAACCCAGAGTCTCCATTTGGCGTCTTCGGGTGATTCTGTGGTGCCTTAAAGTTTGAGAGGCTTCGTGTGTGTTGTGGGGTGGGTGGGTGTGTGACTGTGTAGGGCATGTGGAGGCGCAGCTGAACATGCCGTGATTGAGCGCGCCAACTGGGGATGTGAGGCCTCACTGTGGCCTCAGCTGCGCTCCCAGGTTGGCCCCATGGCCTCCTCCTGACCTCTCCAAACTGCAGGCAGGGAATAGCCTAGCAAAGGCATGCAGCCTCTGGAAGTGGAGGGGCTGCCTCACGTGGCCTGGAAGGGGACCCAGAGGGCTTCGCAGAGCCTTGGGGTATATGAGGTCTTGCAGGCAGGAAGTCACCCCGATTTCTTGCCCTGAGTTCAAGAGGCCTCTCTTACTGACTTCCTCCACTGTGGGTTGTATTTTCAGTTTTGGTGGAGCTAACCAGAAAGGGTTCTGTGTCTGCTTGTCTTTCTTCTTGGCCTCACACAGCCACGCACGCCAAATGGCTGGGTCCCCTTACGCTCCGGGGCTAGGTATATAAATATGTATTGTTCTTGCTGGATGAGTACCTTGATCCAGGCCGAGGTGCTGGGGGTGCCCCATCAGTTGTCGGGGCGTGAGTCCCGAGGGTGACTTTGCTTGTGCTTTCTCCTGCAGGCCATTCCCTGACTCTTAGCCAGGGCAAAACAGGAACCTGGTTCAGGGATGGAGAGGCAGTGGGGGTCCTGTTTACATTTGTAGAAAGTGGAAGAGTCTGGCTCTGGGGAAGAGCAGGCCTGTTTGACTCTTACTATTGCTAAGTTAGATGACATGGAGGATTGCAGAGTTTCTCTTGTTAAACTCTTTGGATGTGATCAGCAGCGGCTCAAGTGATCTGCATGCTAATTCTGATAATGTATGGAAGTCCTGCTGTGGCCAGAAAGGGTGGGAGACTTGGGGGCAGAAACAGCCCAGCCTCTTTCCCCTGAGTTGATCATTTATCTGGCAGAAGGCATTGCCTCCCACTTCACAGGCAAGTTCAGGTACCTCTGAGTTTTTCCCCAAGGCTTTCTCAGTGCATTTAATCAGAAGTTCTCAGAGGGGCTTTCAGAGATGTACTCCCAAGGGGAATGCTTAATACTACCCCAGAGTTTCATGGGCCAACACTAACTTTGTGTCTGCACAAACAGAATCTTGGGCAGAGGTGAAGCAATTATCCATCTTCGGCGGGGACCTCCCCTAGTTAAGCAAGGAAGCCAGGGGATTGATTTAAGCTGACTGAGCAAATGTCTGTACAAGGAGCCAGCCGATGGCACACAGGTTTCTGTTAGCTAGACTAGTCTTCCTATTGATCAATTACGTGGGACAGCAACTTGCCTCTTCTCATCCTGCCCGCTGGGAAGATGAGGGTTAGCTGTATGAAGCCTCATCCCAGAGAGGAAGAGTGCGAAGTTCAGCAAGAATGAGGCCACTTGCCCATGCGCCCCCACACTTCCTCAAAGAAACCTGGGCCTTGCTCTGTACCTCTTTTGCCTATAGGAGCCTAGTAAATGGAACGTTTTCGGAAATCAAGGACCGAATGTTTTCCCACCTGCCTTCCCTGCAGCTGCTGTGAGTACGGGAGTTCTCTGAGAAATGGGGGGTCTCTAAATAGTGGTCTCTGCTTCTATGGTGTTGGCCTTCCTTACAGTAGCTCCCTGAGTCACCTCGGCTGGTTCTTAGTGTTACCTTGCCACAGCAAATTGACATCTCTTTGCTCTGGTTTCTCCCTTCACTTTGGTTCTAGTTCTATGCCAGGATTTTGTGGTAGATCCCACTCATAGATCAAGCACTTGGGAGGTGATTGCATTGGTCATGACCAGAGTGTCACCTCAGTAAGCAGTTCCCCAAACATTTCACTTGAAAAGAAACTTTTCTTTAAAAATCTTAATATTACTGTGGACATAGGATAATAGGAGTAGTTTGCCACATACTCAAGTGGGCAGGCAGCCTACTATGTATTTGTACACATAATTTTAACTCATTGGTGTGGCATCTCTTCAGGAAAGATACTTTTGGCTTTCCATTTGACAGATGGAGAAACTGAGGTTCAGTGATGTGAAATACCTTGTCCCAATTCACAGAGTCAGGATTCAAACCCAAGGCTGAAAGCCCACACTCATGGCTATTCTTTGCCCTGGCTCCTCTTTGAATCAGGCCGAAGTCCCTGTGGTGAATGCCTACATAGGGCCCTGTAGCCCAAGTCAATTGGTGTTTGATAATGAAAATAAATGTCCCCAAATCACTTTTTGAAAACAAATCGGTAGGTTAGGGTGTATGTGTGTGTGGGGGGGGGGTTGCTATAGCTCAGTGGTAGTAAGTTTGCTGTAGGAAGCCCCAGGGTCCATCCTTAGCACTACGTGAACAAAACAAAACATTAGCAGACAGTCTTGAGTATACAGAACAGAGTCTTTCTCCTGTTTCTGACATTTGAGATGAGACTGTGACTATAGCAAGCAGAAAAACATAGACAAATACAAATCACTGTTTAGCCTCGATAAATTACTGTTGATAGTTTTGCTCTTGACATGTTGTACACCTGCTTATAATATTATGCTTGTCGTTTGAGAGCTTGTGTGAAGGTCCTAGCAGGGAAGGGCAGCTACTTGGATATCCTTGACTAAAGACTGATCCTCCTCTGTTGGGGAAGGTTGGATGCACAGGGAGCATTGAGGGAGGAAGGGACACCCACCTAGCCAGCCAGATTAGTTGAATCAACCCTGGAGATCAATGGGGTGACAGATGCCACAGCCGGATCACCCTCACATCCTATGCTTGCTATTTGAAATCTCAGTGCTCATGCTGACCGGATGACTCAGTAGGTAAAGGTTCTTGCTGCCAAGGCTGATGACCTGAGTTTGATCCCCAGGTCCCACATGGTGGAGGGAGAGAATTGATTCTTGAAGGTTGTCCTCTGACCTCCACACATGTGCTGTCCACACTCATGTCCACACATATATATACATACCCACACAATAAATAAATATAATAAAAAATTATAACAATTCTATTAAAATAGAAATGCAGCTTTGGTCAAATAAACATAAGTGATTTCTATACAGATTACATATTTAACCATGGACTTACATGGCCACTCAAATAGAAAACAACATACTGATAAAGAATTCTAGAGATTTCTTACTCTTAAAAAAAAAAGATTATGATTACTTCAAGGATTTTTAAAAATTATTTATTATTATTATTATTTTGTTCTTGCTGTGTGTCTTGTCAGGTCACTTATCTTCCCTGGGCTCAAATTTCTCTAAAAGCACAGCTGAATCAGATCCTTCAGGTCTGTAATTCCATGATTGCTTAAGCATCATGAAGCAGTCAATGGCTATTTAGTTGTACCTAGGAGAAAAATGTTTTGAATAACAGCTATCAGTTCATGTGTCCGAGACCCTCCAGGGGAGAAAGAGGTGGTGTATTGGAGATTGCACAGAAACCAGCCAGCAGGGATCTCTCCCTCATGGCCTCCATCCAAATGGCGAGGACAAGGTGGGGACCTGATGGGTTGTTCTTAGGCTGAGAAGAGTCTACATTTGCCCAAGGATCAGAACCTAGCAAGAGAAACAGCCATAGCTTCACTGCACGACTCAACCTTCCCATCTCTGTTGAAACCTGTCTTATTTGCAGATTGCTGAATTCTAACTCATTCACAGTGATCCGGGATGATGCTTTCGCTGGTCTTTTTCACCTTGAATACCTGTAAGTGTTTCGGTGCATTTTGCCCAACCTTTGGTGTCTTAGGGGGGCTTTCTGGATTGTGCCCTGTGCTGGGACAGCCTCAGTGGAGGCTTAAGATACAGAAAGTCCCATTCTCTTGCCAGTATTGACCTTTGATAGTTGAATTGCTTCTCGGAATGCTGGGGCAGGAGGAGGCTGGAAACGAAACTGGGGAAGGAGGCAAAGAAGGAAAGATATTCATTCTCTGCTGACATTTAACTTGTCATGTAGTAAGCACGACTGAAAACTGCGTTGGATATTTTTACCTCTATAACTAGGCATGGATTTACTGGTCAGCCAGAAATAGAGCTGGAGGGTTCTGAGGGCTAATTATTTTTGAACAAAGTTTCCCTATTTGGGGGTAAAACTGCATGGTTTTTATGCAGCTGTCCCATATCCCATTTGCCCTATCTCCTGTGAGTTCTGTTGAGGTTTAATTAGATTTTCTTTTTTCCTAAAAAAACAAAAACAAACAAAAAACTCAGAGAAAAGCGTTATTTCTTTCCTCTTCAGATGTCACTTCCCCCCCTTAGCAATGAGATTTGGTGCTGTTCTTATTTCAGCCTTTTATCACATTCAAGTCTTTTTCTTCCCCCTTAAGTTCCCCCAGCCTTGTATTTGGTAAGTTTGTAATAGTGTTAATCCTGCTATCAGGTGAGATTTCCTTGCTTAGCATTCAGAGGATTTGGAAGGCCTTGTCTTGGCTGTCTTATCTGAGGTGAACAGGTAGATGTTGGAATTCTAGACACATCCTAGGTAGAAAAAAGCTTTGTGCTGAAGTGAGTTCCCAGGGAATGATGTCTCAACAGGAATTCTTTCTCCAGAACACACTCCTATAATCTGGTACTGTGACATGTATTTGATATGGAAGGAGTGTCACCGCTGTAGGGTTGAAACCACCAGGGTCTGGGAATGGGAAGAAGTTAGCTTATCAGATTCTGCTAAAGTCTAGTACTAAATAGACATCAGTGTTTAAAAAAATAGAGTTCTAATGGGAGAACTAGCTCATCAGTGGCATCAAGGTGTGGTAAAGCCGCTCCCTGGGACCCTCTGTCAAAGACCTCCTTTATTTGACTTAGCTCTCTGGCCCTGGAGAACAGTTGTGGTGCATTCCTGTCATAGAGAGTTTACAGCATGGCCAGTGTTGCTTCCAAATCAGTGTGCAAGCCCTATGCCCTTTTAGCCTAGAGAAACTCAGCCTCTTTTGCCTGTGTTGTCCTTCCTGCTTACTGGTGCCATCAAGAGTCCGAGAGCATCCTGCTTTGTCACCATTTGCCCAGACATGAGGCTGTGTGGGACACGATGAACTCAAGGTTGCTGGAAGCCAAGCTTAATGGAACGCTTCCTCAGCAAAAACCATAATACAGAGATATAAAACAATGGGCTCCCTCAAGGGAAAATGATATTAACAAAAGTATGAATAGCTGGGCACTGGGCGATATAAGAGGAGCCAAGCAGAGAAACTGCCAGAAGCTTTCCAGTGTGGCAGAGATGGGGGAATTTCTTGTCTTTGTACAGTGCATTTGTCTTTCCTTCTCCTCCCCAAGGTATTTTTGCCCACATCGCCAGCTCTGAATTTAGAGGCATCTATACTGCTCTGGAAGAACAGGGAGACTGGCAGTCACGTATTCTTTCTTGCACACACACACCTGGTTTCCCCGTAGAATTTTGTATAGTGCAGTGCTAACTTTAGAGCTTCTATAGTCCATGAGTGCTTTCAGATTTTACTGCAGAAGTACACTAATATCATTTGTTAGGGATATTAAAAAGAAGGAATTCAGTCAAATTATACTGTTTTTCCCCCTAGGTTCATTGAAGGGAACAAAATAGAAACCATTTCAAGAAATGCCTTCCGGGGCCTCCGTGACCTGACTCACCTGTAAGTCCTATCAAAATTGTTGTGAGGGCTGGGGACGTAGCTCAGTCGGTAAAGTACTGACTGTGTAACCATGAGGACCTGCTTTTGATCACCAGAATCCATATATAAAGACAGGCATCATGATGTGTACTTGTAATCCCAGCACTGGGGAGACAGAGACAGGAGGATCTTTGGACTTTGCTGGCCAGTTAGCCTAGGCTAATCAGTGAGCCTCAGCCCCAGGGAGAAACTGTATCAAAAACCAAAGAGGATGAATCCTGAGGAATGGCACCTGAGGTTGATCTTTGGCATCTATACTCACTTGTGTACACACACACACACACACACACACACACACACACACACAGTTGTAAATTCATCGCCTACTGCATTTCCCTTCCTTCCTATTTCCATATTGCAACATTCCTCAAGGGACACTCATCTCCATGTTCCTCAGGAGGTCCCTACAGTGACATATGCCACTCATTGTAGTGAGAGCTCACTGGTGTCACCCCCTCTCCATCATCTTTGTCACCATGGGGATGACATGACCTCATGTGAACTAGGGGACCATCAGTGTTGTGAGGGCTTTGTGCTGATGGAGGGAGTGGGACAGAAACATGCTCTTATGCCCACTTGATGCCAGGGGCCAGGCCACATACCTAGAGGCCGTCCTCTCCATGTTTTTCTAATCTGCGAGTCCCCATTTTACAGAATTGGGAATGAGACAAGTGACTGCAGAATGTCACCAGGAGGGCGAAGTGGAACAGAGACATCATCATGAGCCCTCTCATTGGAATGCAAGTCGTTTTTTCTTTTATGTTGGATTAATCTGCTTCAGCTAAGCTGCCTGGCTCTTTAATAGCTTTCTGGAGACAAAAAAAAAAAAAAAAAATTAAAGGGATTGATTTGAATTGGCATATCAGAATGAAGCAAGCACACACATTTAGAAAGTTAGAAAATCGGAAAAAATAGTAGCTGTGTTTGTAAAAATGCAAAATCAGTCATTTTCAAGGTGGGAGTCATTTATCAGCATGGCCTGGGTTTCATTTGCACAATAGATACTTTTGTCTAAGGAAGATGATGGGTCTTATCGCCATAGTCAGCCTATCTGAAGTAAAGAGACCTAGGGAAACTAGAAGGCACTGAATGTGGGTGCTGGGCGGGGATGGTGGTACTTCAGGTAGAGCCCTGACCACCCAGGCATCTTCACCAGCACAGTGCTACAGGAGAGTGTGTGTCCTGTTGACACTGTTGTTTTAGGTTTCTTCTTCATTCCTATAGAAGCCCAGACTTTTCCCAGAGTCAACCTACATGCCAAATGCCTTAGTTCCTATGGACTGAGATAGTGGACTTAGGTTCAGAACTCCAAGCTATCACTTACTGCTGTGACCCAGTTTCCTCACCCTTAAGACAGGGAGAATTAGGGGCTGGAGAGATGCTCAGTGGTTAAAAGCATTGGCTCCCTCAGAGGACCTGGGTCTGGTTCTCAGGACCCACATGACAGCTAACAACCATCCATAGCTCCTGTTCCAGGGGATCCAGCACCCTCTTCTGATCTCCATGGGCATTGTATGCACAGGTGCACTTACATACATGCAAGCAAACACTCATACACATGAAATAAAAATAAATAAACAGGGGCTGGAGAGATGGCTCAGCGGTTAAGAACACTGGCTGTTCTTGCAGAAGACCTGAATCCAAGCATCCACATGGCAGCTAACAACTGTTGCTAACTCCAGTTCCAGGGGATCCAACAGGCTCTTTGGTTCTCCGCAGGCGTTGCATGACATGGGTACACTTACCTACATGAAGGCAATACATGCATACACATAACTAAAGATAATAAATTATATATGTATAATAAATAAATTTTTAAAAGATAGGAAGGATTAAACTTATTTTGTAGTTTTTGTACAAAATGAGTTAATGATGCCAGTTTGCAAAGCACCCAACCCATTCCCCACAGTAAATGCCCAGGGAAAGGCTGACTCCTGATCCTACCCCTCCTCCTTCTCTTTCTCCCTCCCTGCCTCTCTTTCTCACACCTTCCTCCTTCTCCACAACAGTATCTGGACATTAAGAAACTTGATTTTCTCTGTATAATGCTAAATGGCCTTGGCCGTTCTCAAATGGTTGGGCTGGATAGTTTCAGTTGTCAGCGTGACACACCTGGGAAGAGGGAATCTCAACTGGGGAGTTTCCTGTGTGGGATTGGCCTGTGGCTGTGTCTGTGAGGCATTTTCTTGATTGTTGAGTGATGTGGGCAGTGCCACCCCTGGGCAGGTGTTCCTGAGTTGTATAAGAAAGCAGGCTGGGCACAGGCCAGAGGAGCAAGCTAGTAAGCAGTGTTCTTCCACGGTCTGTGCTTCAGTTCCTGCCCCCAGGCTCTTGCTCCAGTTCCTTGACTTCCCTCAGTGAAGGATTATATTGTAAGCTGAAATACACTCTTTCTTCTCCAAGTTTGTTTTGGTTAGTGTTGTATCACAGTAATATAAAGCTAACTAGAACAAGAAGCTATCGGGGTGGGTGTCTGCTAAAGGACAGTTATGGGTGTCTGGAGAGGAACAGCTGAGGCAGATAAATCTGGGTCCCAGTGGTCTGGAAGGAGGAAAGGCTCTGGGTAGTTACTGCATTGTTTATAGACCAAACTAACCCCCCCCCCCCAATTAAACCCCTCACATAAAACCCCTCCGCTAAAATTCACTCCTGTCCTACGGGAAGTTCCTTCCTGCAATTTCTTCCTTTA